CACGTTTACTAGTATCATAGAGCTTGGTTGTTAGATTACCATTTTTCAAGTAAAATATAAAAATTATGAAACAGATGTGTCAGACTCTATGGTGTATTTTATCTCACGCTCACTGGGATATATCATGTCGACATAAGAATGGAAATGACTATTGTTAATGCCAATACGTCGTCGATATATCTAAATGTCGAGTTGAAGGCCACAGCAAGTGTTTTCTTCTTTTCATGTTTAAGATTTTGCACAATTCTGCTTCATATGAATACAAAAATAGGTCTGCTAATAACGGGGAATTCCAATAGATTGCTGGAAGACCTGGTCTCCAAAAAAAACGTAGATATCGTCAATCAGAAACTCAAGCATTTTTTCATGCCAACTTCAGAGAACTTGTGTGTACAATGAGAATATTTTCTAACAAAATAATTTTGCAAATGACCAATGACAAGGTAAGTAAATTTACGAGTTCCATTTTATTGAAAAAGCAGCTGTTAATGATATCAAAAAGCCTGGGCTTTAATTTATCGAGAGGAGTGGTTGTGTATAAAGTTGAAAAGTTGTAAGTTTTTAATCTGTTGATTTTGGTGAAATCTTGTGATTTCAAATTGTCTAAAAGTTCCTTGGAATTTCTAACTATCCACATCTGATTTACACCACTTGAATATATTTTTACACAGTAATCTTGAAGTTTCTCCTTCACTACTGTTTATGTCTTAGTGAGGAGCAAAGAAAGAGGCTTGGTTGAACATTTAATGGAACCTGCTTTGTGTCTTTGTAAGGATTCTTATGAAGTTTTGGAATTCAATGTATATATATGGTAGTTCAAATTCATTTAGGCTCTTTTGTGTATAAAAATATTCAAAACTGACATGTGATTTTGAAGAATTTCTTCCTTAGAAAGGGAACTATGAGCATAAATTGGATTGCATTTGTAGAATTAAATCCAAGTTCTTCTAAAACACATTTTATTTAATGAGCCTAACAAACGAAGACAATATTGTTACCTGTTTTGACAGCAGGGATCAGTGCGTACTACAGTATCTATAACAGATGAGTTGAAGGTCATTGCAAGAGTTTGCTATTTTTCATAGTGAAGTTTTTGAACAAATATTCCATTATAATGCATTTATAACATAACATTTAAGAATCCATTGGCTATTAAATGGATGCAATTAGCGTCATTCTGAATTTCAATATAGATTTTTGCAAGACCTGGTCTCCAAAGGCTACATAGTAAGATTCAATAAAGTTTTAAAATTAACTTCTATGTACTTGTATACACTGAATATTTCATCATTCTGAAAGCTTGCACATCCGTAGACATGTTTTATGTCCATCAGAAGCCGATGAAAATAAAACATTTGTTTCTCGATGGTTTTGTCAGATCATCGTTCTTTTGTGCCAGCTCTGCATTCCTGGTGTAATAAGTACAAATCATTAGTGCACGTGCGCAGGAACATGCACAATTTTTGACAACTTTATGCAAAAGCAGGTCTGAGATGACTTTATAATGAAGCATTTAAGGTTTTCAAGGGTTCGTAATAGAATGATGACAAATTGTATTGTACACTTTTTTTCTCATGTTTCTTTTCCATTTCATTTCCATGAGAGGAAAATAAACCGGTGGAATTATTAAAATAGAATTAAGCAAAAATATTTTAGACAATGTGATGATGCTTTCAATACAAAACAGATTTCTATATGTTGGACACCCTTGGTCAAGGATACCCGACTCGACCCTCTTGTCAGCATTATTGACACTTTGAATTAAATCTAACCTCATTTGATTTTCAATCAAATAGTCTCTCATTCATTAATTTTGAGAAAAAACATCAATTCAAGTCGATGATGCATCTAAAGGTCAGGGGCAAACCCCTTATTCTACGAATAAATTCCAATCAAGTACACAAAAGTTAAGGATTTGATTGACGAGCGACCATGTGAAAAGGCATCATACCTCCTTTACAAGGGGTTCACTAATATGAAGCATTCATTATAACATCTTCCATTAAAAAATATATAGAATCCTAAAAACAAGACATTTTTTAAAATCTTCAAATTGCTTTTTTGATGTTTGAAATAAGCTTTGAATTTGCAAAGTTCATATCTAAATTCTATGTTTGTTTTTTTTTTAATTCAAAAACTTTCGTAATAACATAGAACAAGGTATTTAGTGATATAATGAAGCCAAACTAGAGTGTTATTATTAATTAAGCATGACTACGGTCACGACAGGACGTGTTTGTAAACAGCGAATGGTTAGTAAATGGTGCAAAATTAATGGCTTTGGAAGATGACAAGTGTCCGGCGGTTGGTCTCTGACGTCACAAACAGTCCAGGTATGCGACAAGGTGTATTAATGTCCAATAAAATGGCCGAAACAAACCAGTTTCGGCGAAAATATGTCTATACTTGTGATTGATCTAATCAACAACAATTTAATGAATGTAAACAAAAAGAAAGTCATCTGTCAACAATAAAGAGGTAGGTATAAAAGGGTTCACTACAGGTGAAGGCTTCGGTGGCCTTGGGTTGGAGAAATTGCTATGCCTGAAATTCCAATAATCTTCGCTAAAAATACGAAGTGGAACCAGGTTAGATGTATAGATGGCATTTTCTAAAAATGTTTTAAGAATTTGCATCCATAGAGGAGAGAAAATCTCTCAAACAATCATCGTGCATAAGTGTAAATACCTGTAAGATAATTTACAGAGATCGATATTCTACGGTGTATATATCATTTTAAGGCAAGCTTACCTGCACTAACCAATTCAATATTGCGGTACAGGTACATATAATATTAACCTTTTTTAAGAACAGCTGTGCGTATTCCATGAAGTTCTCTTCTCTAAGATAATGCATTCTGTCGTTCCTTAGGAACAGAAAGAGATGGGTCGAGTATTGTTTATAAACTGACATTTCGTTGCACCTCAGTTGGCATGATTAGAGGAAATTCGGTAATGTTTATGTGGTTAATTATCATGTTTCGAAAACAACAACACACATCAACCGATTTCGTTCTGAATAATACAGCACGTTTTATACTGTTTTGAAATACAAAAATTTCATGCCTTTATAACATAGAAAGCAGTTTTTATGCCAACTAACATCTCTATTGTATGACAAACGAGGTGACCTCAGCTTTTCCATCATCAACTTTCCTTATTTAATTTGTAGTATTCAGCTATAACCTGCATATATGATTTTTATGTCTCCCAAGTTATAAGTTATGCCTTTCTCAAAGCTTGCTCTGGGTATGATACAATTTTTAACCAAGGAAGGCTGCTGACAGATATGTAAATGTTAAAGGGTTTATAACTACATCTTAAACATTTCATGAATTCTAAGGTGGTTAAAATGACAATGTAAGCAAATATAACCCATCAAGGGGTCGTAGTTTGGTTGTCTCGTTTCATACCACTTGTTTGGTCTTTTTTATGCTAAACTTGACTACGAAATGGTCTGTCTAATTGATCAATACATAGGACTCACAGTGTGTTCGTTCAACAGGGGATGCATGAGTTTCTCCTCCTTTGCACCTGATCACACCTCTGCAGGTATTCCAGGGGTCCATGTTCATAGATTTGTATTGGGTTTTTTTAATTATTTATTTAGATCGATCACTATTTGCAGTTTTTTTCAATTAATGAGTTTTTACTCTGTTTTGTTGCTTTTAAACTGTGTTATTAATTCTGTATCCTGTGTACAGTATAAAATATTCCAATTTGTTTTATGAAGCAACATATATACTCAATTCTCATTATATCGCGGGTTTCATTGTATTGCGGTATATCGCAAAAATGTGGATACATAGCCTATTTTCTTTTTGTTGATAGACATTATGAATGTTGTTTGAATGTTTATTTTTTTCGATGATTAAGAAGTATGGAACATCCTTTTGAAAAAAAATAAAACGAAATTTTCTGATTTCCTGTCTCCTTTAAATTATATTTAGACCATTAGAATTATAATCTCGTAAAAATCATAATAAAGTTCATCTTTTAAATGTCTTTAGTATATACAATTCTTCACTTTTTCATGTAGAATTACATCGTAAATTTAAAAATAAAAATTGAGGTCTGTATCATTTACAAGTTTCCATGTATTTCCATACCGCGATACAATGAGACTCTCCGATTTAGGAGGTAAATTTTCCTGTTTTAAAAATAGACCACAAATTAAACGATGCAAGCTTGGAAAATAATTGGACACTAAAAAGTTATGCCAAAGTTAGAATTACAATTATCATTTGATGTAAGTTAAAACAAAAATTAGAAATTACACTTTTTATGCAAAAGAATTAAGTACCGCGACATAATGAGACACCTGTATACTAGTATTTACGGCACTATTATAGTATCATGATAACTCGAATTTATTTGTCTTAGTACTTTTCTCCGTTACCAAGTCAGTCAAAAGACACGAAGTGGGCGTTCTTTGGAAGATATATTTCATCATTATTGGTATTCTCATAAAATAACGTCTCTTGGGATGTCAGTTAATGTGTGTGTTGTTGTACTTTTTCCATTTTTCAGTGGCCAAACTGCTCCATTTTTAATATGTTTAAGAGGAGAAGGTTAATATATTTTTCATGCTGCATTTGAAATCAGGCAACATAATGAAATTTTAATTTAAATTTGCACTGACGTTGTAGATAAATTTTGACTATTAAGTAGGCAAGTCTCTGCTAACTTAGCATAAATTAATTATTTTAAGACAACATAATATGATTAGCATACGGACTAGGATCCCGTAAAAGTCACCTCCAAAAAACCAAGGTTCGTTTAGTTAAGTTTACGTAAGCTAGCTTCATTAATAACAGTATTACAAAGAATATTATGCCATAAAACAGTGTTAAAACTGAATATATACACACATCTTTGGCTATTCTTGGAGTCTTCATTCGAAGTAAATTCTTAGGAACAGATATACTTTGTTAAACGTTGGTTGAACATCTCTCTTTCCTTTGTATTGATATTTCATGAATAAAAACCAAAACGGATATGGTGTTAATCTTTTACTGTGATTTGTATAATACAAAGTATTTGTATAAACTTCAACAACTGTCACAGTATGGTCTTAACCTTGTACATTGGTTGTATAATACATAATATTTGTACAAATTTCAACAACTGTCACTATATAGTGTTAAACGTTTTCTATGGTGTATAAACTTCAACAACTTTCACTATATAGTGTTAACATTTTACTATGGTTGTATAATACATAGTATTTGTATTAATGCAACAACTGTTACTGTATATTGTTATCCACTTACATGTACTATGGTTGTTTAATATAGAACATTTGTAAAAACTTCAACAACTGTCACTATAGTTGTGAACTGACTAAAGTAGCATCATGTATGAAAATGTTTTAGGGCGTGATAACCGGTTTCATTTGATGCAAATCACAAATTATGTACATCCATGCAACACTGTTCATTTAAGATCTACAAGCTTGTACATGTATAACTACTCGACAAGGTCGTGGCGGGTCACAGTTTTTTTATGTAGAAATCGTCCGCACGCGACTAACACAGTGAAGCTCATTGCCATGACAGGATCGTCACTTGATATGGCGGTAAAGTTGTCTGATATTTGGGCATCAGACAGATTCGCAATCATCAGTCAAAGTTCACGTATCCTCGGGTTTCTTCGGTGATAGGTCACGGTAATAGATCACGGAGCCTACTAGCTGACCCGTCTGGAGTCTTCCTCCCAGAGGAAGGAAACCCACGCGCTGGAAGCCTCCAATCTTTTCAATGATTCGCTGCATAGCTACATTGTTAGAGAAAGTGTCCACGTACATCCCCATGTACCCAAGCTTCTTAGAGAACTGGATTGCCTTCCTCATACAAAACTCGCCAAGCTTTTGGTTTCTCTCGGTGGGTTTCACGATGATGAACGGGTCACAAACACCACTCATACCCCGGTAAAACTTGCTCACAGCCAGAATCAATCCAGCCAGAAGTTCGCCACTATCTTTGCTGACAATAGCGAAACAGTCGCTGCCCTCGATTTCATGACGGAAGTCTTTCTCGGAGTCGAACTCGTCGATTCCGTAGCCGTCGCCATGTTGGGCGGCATCCTGGATCATACGGTAGGTCTCTGAGAGCTGTTGTTCCGTCATGTAGTCGATGATGACATGACGTCCAGTCACCAGAGAATCAACCACCGGAAGAGAGTCCATCCAGTCCTGCTCTGTTTCATGACATCTAAATTCGTGTTTCAGCAACATGCTTTGTGTCTGTTGAGAAAAAGGGAGGTCAATTAGTTATTAGACTATGAAATAAACTTAACTTAGAGACTCGTTTTCGATAAAAAGTTCCAATGAACACTAAGCATCATTGCATACATATATATATAGTCTAAAAATCGACAAAAAAGAGTTGCTTGTCCTACTGAATACTGACTTCTCCTAATCGATCAGAGAAAATATCATTGTATTCACTTGGCATAACGAACATTGTAACAGTAACTGAAAAAAGCTTGCCAACACGTGGATAAGACATTAAGCCATGATGCAATATAGACGTAGGTGGTAATCGAATAAACACTGCAATGATACAACAGCAGAATAAAAATAACAATTAAACAATGTAATAATTACCTTGAGAATGCTAGGTACAGCAAACCAACAAGATATAAAAACTCAGCGCGGAATCCGTAACTGACAAATATTGTCCTGATGAGAATAAAGCAAGGATATCATTGTCGTCTGTTTTATACTCTGACTGTCGCCATTGAGGGGAGGGGCGTCCCGATCATACGAGCTACAGGTTGGCTAAACGTTATTCAAAACAAAGTACAAGGTCTCTGGAACCTTTTAAATTAGTCAGATTTAGGAGTTTAATGACTGATCATATTCTACTTCATTGGCTGACAGAAAGCGCTTTTCTAATGAATAAATTCATTTTTATAATAAATATATACATTGCTATTAGTGTTCTGTCCGATTTTTTGCGCAAGATTTTGTTTGCGCCTGCATATTAATTGATTGTTTTGTTCCTTATCATGCAATTGGTGAGTGCATATTTCAATAAATAAGACAATCTATCAATGAGCATACAAAAAGAAAACTCACAATTACATTTGTGACTGAACTATGTAAACTTGATGACTAATGTATCTGAAAATTAGTTTCGTAATTTCGTAGTAATAAACATGCAAATGCATTTCAAATAATTATGTTCTCACAGATTTTTACCCATAACTAATACCGTAGATATATGACATTTTTCTTATAATAAGTTTTTTTTTACTACATTTAATTTTAGAGTACATTTAGAACTTAATAGTGTTTATCTGCAAGGAAATTTTTATTGTTCTATTTTTCACTCAAGGAGCGTGATACTGAGTAATTAAATCGGCTTAACCGATTAGCAATATATTCCCTCTACTGAAATATTGATTTCACAAATGCTCCTTTGTGCTATTTTTGTCAGATGCAACAACTGAAGAGGGGAAAACCATTTATGATGCAGTAATCTCGAGAGATTTCCCAAAATATATATTGAAGTCTCGCGAGATCAGGTCAGTTACAAAGTGTGATAATCGCGTTAATAACGGAGATTTGCGATGTTTGTCGAAGTAAACAATTAAAACACAGTTTGTTAGTTATCCTTGACTTACTTATGTGAACTTGTCACAGCTTAAAAGTAAACAGAGTATAACTAGATTTTGACTGATTGTCTTCAAGATAACGATGATAAACTATTCCCGTGAATCTTAAACTCATTATTGCTGATCTATTGAAGTCGTTTCTTTTGATAAAAATTTGTAAAACAATATAAGTGGATAGGTTAATTAATCCATTCATGTGTTTGATTGTGTCAAAAAAAATAATATAAAACATTCTATTTTGAGATAGAACATTTCTTGCAGATGTTATGGTCAGCTTTTATAGAACAAAATTTAGAATCTTTATAAAGTGTTTTAGCTCTAAATACTAGGTATACATGTAGTACAAACCATATAAATGTTTGGAGATGAAATTACATGTATTAACATTGATATACGAATAAGAGAATTTAAACTTACTTTTATATAGTTACATGCAATCTTCGCTGAAGTTCAAAACTTTGAAGTAAAATATACATAAATTATTGCATTTTTCTTTGTGAAACATATGGAGATAACAACAAAGAGTATTCAAGTTCAAAAGTCCATTAAACAATTCAAAATTGGAGCAAAGCAAACTTGAACGTTGAAAACATCAGAGGTGGGATCAGGTGCCATGGAGGAGTGAGCATCCCCTACCGACCGGTCACACCCACCGTGTCCTCCTTGTCATGATCAGAAAATAACCGAAAATCCGTCATCAATTCTATGGAGTAACAATAAATATGAATAAAATGTCAGTCAGCATTTGACTTAAAGAAAAATTGTATTTGCTGACAAGGTCGTTGTATCCACCATAGAACTTACAAAATGATGACTTTTAACGAGACTGCTGATATTCTTGTTTCATCGACTTATTTGTCAATATAATGATTTACCTCGTTTAAAAATTGTTTATACGTATAGCATGCCCTTGCATACCGAATTATAACTGAGATATATACACTCCGTATGCAGGTGATGAAGGTTTATTGCTGCATAAGTAAGGGAAGTTGATGATTGGAAAGTTAAAGTTATCACTATCATTATAGTGGTTTGTTGTTAGATTTCCATTTACGTCTGTTTCAAGTAAAATATCTTAATATAACACAGATACGTCAGACTCTGTGGTATCTTTTATTTCAACTTTACCGGGCTTTATCGTATCGTCATAAGAATGGAAATAACCATTGTTAATTGACAATACGTCGTCGATATATCTAGATGTTGATTTGAAGGCCACAGAATGTGTTTTCTTTTTTCACGTATAAAATTTGGACAAATTCTGCTTCATATGAATACAAAATTAGATCTGCTAATATCTGGACGCAGTTGGTACTCATAAGAATTCTTATAAATTGTTGAAAGACCTGGTCTCCAAAAGCACATTGATATTGTCAATAAGAAACTCAAACTTTTAAATATAAGCTTCCGAGTAGTTGTGTGTACAATTAGAATGTTTTTAGCCAAATAAATTTATGACTGGTCTGAGTAGAAATAGGTGCCCGAATAACTCTTTGGTTGGCCTCCCATTTTTCAGACTAGCGAGGTACATATCTGCAGCTACAGTTGTTTGTACTTAACATTTCAATTCCCTTGTCGAGAGACACGGGGGCAAAATCAATCACACTCATCTCAAAGAATGATAATCGATGGGTATTGTATCAAGAGTGAAAAAATGAAAACAGAATAGAAGATAAGATGCTTATTTAAATCATCTCAAAGTCAAAATTAATATTTTTTATGTACCAAAACTCACAAAATGCTCTTTATTTCAAAAATCGGAATTCTTAAATAAAAGTTGAGATTTATCCAGAAGATCTTAGAAAACTATTGTATAACTTCATCATAAGAAAGATAAGGATCCTTTAATTTAATCATAGAATAGTTTCAAATCACTACCCCTTCCCTCCGGAGTGGGGTTTAGATACACTATATCTGGAGAAGTTATGGAAAAAAAACAACAAGGCTTGTAGGGTACTCAGTCAGCCATTTAAATGAATAAAAACGTGGACACTGTAATCATAAATCCACGTGTTTGTTCTGTTATTCATCTGTATAGTATCCTTTTCCTATTAAAAGCATTTCTTTTAAAAACTGCATTTGAAAGGGGGAAAACCCGATAAGAAGACAGGCAAGTGAAAATGTTTAACCCTGAACCCTGATGTGCTTTGTGAATGGAAATAAGCTTTTCATTTGTGGATCTGCGTACATAAAACACCATTCATAAAATTTTAAATCCTTAACAGATTTAGCTTATGAACTTGTGTGTTTATGTGCACTAATATGTTTGCATATTATATAGCACAACTTTAATATTCTGCTGTATAATTTATTTGTTGATCAGACAAGAAACAGATTAAGTATGGTAATTTTGATCTTTAGAGGTTGAGTTTCTTCAAGGAACAGAAAGTATTGTGTTTGGTGTCATATAATGCAATATCAATAATCTCATAACTTCAACCGTTAGCACATTATTTATTTATATGATACGTTAAAACATCCAATGACACTTATGTGCTCAATTTAAAAGATAGGAATTCATTTTTGTGTATAATACATGCAGTTTATATAGATTTTTTATAGCAGTACAAATCAGGAGCAGAGTAAAAATGAAACTCTAAAAAAATCAGAGGTTGGATCAGGTGCCATGGAGGAGTGAGCATCCCCTTCTGACCGGTCAAACCCGCCATGGCTTTTTATCATGATCGGGAAATAACGAGAAAATTGCAAATAATGGTCTAACAATAAGTATGAAAAAAGTCAGTCTGCATTTGTTATTGTATCGACCAAAGAATGAAACATATGGAGATAACGAACAGTATTCCAGATCAAAAGACCGCAAAACAATACAAAATAGGAGCAGAGCAAACAAGGACCTCCAAAACACCAGAGGTGGAATCAGGTGCCATGGAAAAGTGAGCATCCCCTGCCGACCAGTCACACCCGCCGTGTGCTCCTTGTCATGATTGGGAAATAGCGGAAAATCCGTCGTCAATTCAGTGCATAAATAATGGACTAACAATTAGTATGAAAAACGTCAGTCAGCATTTGACTCAATCATAAATTGTATTTGCTGACAAGATATAACGAACTTACGAATTGATGACTTTAAACGGGACTTTTGATATTCTTGTTTCATCAAATTGTTTGTCAATAAATTACCTCATTTTAGAAAGTGCACATATGTACCCTGTAAAGTATGATCTTGCGCATCGAATCAGCTGGTAAACATAAATCACATATACAGCGGATAAGGAAATATTATTTCATAAGTAAAGACTCTTTACGATAGAAAATTTGAAGTCATCACATTTATCATAAAGTGTAGTAAGATTGCCATGAATATCTTATTCTAGTAAAAGATCCAAATATGATAAAAGATGTGTCAGACTCTGTGGTGTCTTTTGTTTCAAGCTTAAGAGGGTATATATCTTGTCGACATATGAATGGAAATAAATATAACGATTATTTGTAAGTCATTGATGAAAAACAATGCAGATTTGTGGAGGCTACAAGATTGTAATAATAAACTCTGATCTACAAAACGCTGTAAATGGCGACTCAAAATAAACAAAGTAGATCAAACACGTGAGGGTCTGTGTATCCTCGTGTCTGGGTTACCCAAAGGTCAGCGAGGGCGGAAGTAGGGCTATAAACGGTAATTATATACATATGTTCATTATACTTTTTAGGTTCTTGATTTGAGCTATCATAGATTCAATTACACGCTTAATGTACGTTATATATTCTTTTTTGTTGTTTCTTTCTGTCCATTTTTTTTTGGAGATCTAATACTTGGGTTTTAAATAGCCTGCATGAATAGTATACATGCTGTTAAAGAACACGGGCAACGATCATCGGAATCGCTAAAGGATTGACTGGATGAATGCTAACTAAATTTCCAGGGGATTTTCTCATCAGTCTGATTGTCAACACTTCGATCTGATATTGTGTCTGACGCAAAAAAAGTGAGGGAGCATCGCATTAAGGTTACGGATTCAGACACTCTTGAACTAATTTTCAACATATTTAGATTTTGAATTTAAAAAATATCGGTCGTAACCATTTTATTTTATTCAGCAAGTTTTCAATTAATCATAGGTTAATAATATGGTCCCAGCAGAGGGATCACAACAATATCGTCTTTGCCTTGTGTAACAAATATGTTCAAGAATCTATTAGAAAGTTAAAAGGAATGA